CGGCATTCGCGTCGCGCTCCCAAAATTATTTTATCTATACATTTTATTTTATACGACGCCGCTTTTTTCTCCTTGCTTACGTAAATATCTCTATGTATACCGGCACAAAAACCGGCTGTGCGGCTCCTCATCTTTTTTTTCTTTTTTATTATTCGTCTCTCTAATTTTACACAATCTATGGCCGTGGAACACCGAAAAAATACCAGCGCGTACAATACACCACGAACTTTTGGACACTTGCCCCTCTCGCGAGGGCAAGAGTCATGCTCATCTCGCCTCGCAAAATTCGATCCGTAATCATCGCGATTGCGGCGTAAGACCATGCCTTGCAAAATCAAATTCGTGCAAACCGAACCGTCGATACTCTCCAGTAAAACTACGGTCGCGAGATCTAGTAATTTAAGGATAAGAAATAGAAAGTTAAGAGCATCCAATAGTATAAATCCTTGAATTCTAAAATCGCGATACAAAGATTCAAGAAGAATTGAAATTTTGCTAGATCTAGGCATCCAAGAATCTCTCTTCTTCGGGAAAACCGAAGTTCCTAGAGGAGCTCGATCGATATACAATATAATTTCCAAACGTCTTGAGACTTTAGAATCCAAAGATTTAAAGGATCCAATCTTAGCATTCGTGTGCTCGAAAAGTTTAGACCTCGAGCGTCCAAGCATTCGAGAACGCGAGAATCAAAGGATTCAAGAAGATTCCGAAGGTTCGAGAGTTCGATGAGAGTTCCAGAATCCACGAATTTGATAGCTCAAGGATCATTGGCGATTATGGGCACCGAGATTCAATTAAGAGAAAGATGGATACAACACTTTTCTCTCTCTCTCTCTTTCTTCTGGTATTGGACAAACGTACGCGCATAACTCTGCACACATCCGCTAATTAAATTTTTTCTTCGTTATTACAACAAACTATACGTCGGAGCGTCGACGATCGTGCACCGGGAAAACCGATGTTGTTCGCCGCGATGTGAATAATCGCGGGATCGGGGCAAAAGTGCAGGCCGACTGCGAAACGCGACCCCTCATTTAGAATGCATCGATTTAGGACGAAACCCTCGCCCGGATCGGCGCGACTGTCATTCGCGTACAATCCTTTCTACATATTCATTTTCTCTCTCTCTCTCTCTCTCTCACTCTCACTCTCTTTCTCTCTCTTTTACTCGAGATTAATAATTAGTGATAACTACCGGCTAATCGGCTACTAATTTCCACATTTTTATCGCCAACTACCGCACTACTTTTTTTTTTTTTTTACGGATCGTACGCGCTGATTATCGTCGCGTAAGTGAATCCTCTTCGTCTTCAATTACGCGAACGATTTTTAAGAAGCGTCACGCGAATCCGAACAATGGCCGAAGAGAAATATCTTTCTCTCTCTTTCTCTCGATCGTCGACGATCGCCGGTTCGGCTAACAATACCTTACGCGATCAGGACGCATGTTAAAAAGGACGACGACGACGACGACGACTCACTACAAATTCTTCGTCCTCAATTCACGATTACAGGTGCTGTCGCACATTTTCGCGTTTCTACATTTGAAACTACCTGTAATATTTCGCGCTTTCTCTCTCTCTCTCTCTCTTTCCTATCGTGTCGCACGTGTCATCGCCACGTGTCACGCGGATTCTTCACGACAGGCAATTCGTAAGAGATTTCGAATACGATCGCACGCGATCGATCCAATGATCCGCAAATCGAAGATCGGAGAAGGAGAAGAAGAGCATAGAATGCAAGAGGTCCGACTCGTTTCTCCTCTCGTTTTTCCTCAGAATTTTCCACGAAAAATATGTTTACGTCAAGATCTAGAGAGCCACGAAGCGTCCTCTGTAAATCTATCGTAAATCTACATATTTATTACGGAAAAAATATAGCGAAAGTTGTGATTAAAATTATCCTGTAATTTCTGTATTAAATGCGGCCAAAGCGATAGAGAGAGAGAAAGGGACAAAAGAAATATTTTCACAATAGCTTATTTTTTTAATAATATGACGCGATAATCGCCATTTAATACAGAAATGATCGATAATTAATTATTTCGTTGGCTATGCGTTTTGCTAATTTTAATTATCAATCGCGTTATTATTTCAGTGCGTTTACAGAATTGCGCATTTAATATTTAATACCTTGATCGAGAGATATTTGTGAATTCGGAATATTCCGCAACGTCGAGATGCAGGATAAGCGTTCATCGATTTTCCGCGTCAACATTTGCAGCTGTCAGATGCTTAAAACGACAATTAATTATTCAATCCGCGAGAACATATCTGATCGTTAACAAATCAGTCGAGTATTTACCTACAAAGATAAAAAAATGTTCGCCATAACGTATGCGATTCACGAAAAATGATACGGATGAATAGTTTACAATTGGCAAAAATCTCGGAAACCTTTCGACTCGCGACATTTTCGAAATAAATCGTTCGCATCATTTATCGCGGCATTATCGTTTCGCGAAAACCATTAATTATTTAAAGCGATCTCTGTAGCGATTAAGTGTTGATCGAATAAAGTATCATCGGCTTGACATCCGTTTCTAACAAATCGGATTATACGGAGATCCGGGTTTGAAAATGGCTGATATCGTGATTCAATCGTTACGGAATTCTTCTAGAGAGAAATCCCGTCGCCGTGAAATCGCGGCGATAATCTCGCTTAGTGTCCGAAAGAAGCCACGAGAGAATTGGCTCGTTATAGGCTAGAAGCCGATCGTCCGTGTGCTCCACGTATACGCCTCATTTACCCACCGTCGACGTGACTTCCGGCCAGATTCAATGGCCGTGGCGAAGTGCCACGGCCGTTTCCGCAACAGCCTTATCGCTCCTTCCGTGGAAAATCGCCCTGTTCCTCGCTGAGCACACGGAACGTGGCTCTCGGTGTGTATACGTATGTGTGTAACAAGATGCAAGTTAAAATATTCCACTTCGCATATAATCGAAAATGTTAATATTCGTACATGAAAAAAATTTAATATTTTCTTTATCGAGTCAGAATTTTTTAAATTTTATGTCATTTTAATATTCGCAACTATGTATGTTGAAACTTCCATTATGAAAGTACGTTGTTTAAAAATTCGAGCGTCTCTTAAACTTACTCACTTTGGAATCGCTGAAGGCGAAGTATCGGTTATATCTACTGGTTGAACGTCGACGACGTCAAGAGAGCGTGTCACCGGTGTTTTAACTTTTCAAA